CATCATATCGCAGAGCCCAGAAAACACGTCCAGTGAGCAGGGGCGAGAGGGGAAGGGGACAGCACTTCCCCGTGGCCAGCTCCTGCTGCCCTCCGCCTGCACACTTAGTCAGGGTGGGGGCTGGAAACAGCTGGCTTCATGCGTTTTCGTTTGTTTTGCTTCATATAGTTTAAGGATCTTTTTATTTATTTGAAAGACAGACAGTGAGGGAGAAAGACAGAGATCTTCTACCCATTGGTTCAATCCACAGATGGCTACAGTGGCAGGAGCTGGGCCGGGCCAAAGTCAGGATCCCGGAACTCTGTCCTGGCCTCCCATGTGCATGGAGCCCAAGCATCTTCGGCTGCTTTTCCCAGGCGCATTCGCAGGGAGCGGGATCAGAAGCAGAGTCACGGAGACTAGAACGTATGCTCTGATGCCAGCAACGCAAGCGGTCTCTCAGTCTGCTGCTCCACATGCCGGCCCCTGTTTTGGTTCATATTGAAACAGATTTAAAAAGCTAAAAACAAAACAGCTTTCTGTGTTAGGTGCAGAGGCTAAGTGTATCTGAAGACAGGGTTTTCATTTTGCAAGCCGTGGCAGTAAATGCAGGTGGACTGGCTGTGCTTCTGATGCAAATGTGTTGGCCCTCGGAAGCCAGGAGGCTTTCAGGAGCGGATTCGGTGCAGAGCTGAGCAGGCTGCAAGTCCGCCACCCCCAGCAGGGACACGTCAGGCGGAGCGGGCTCAAGCATTCCTTCCACCACCGACAGGCGTTCTAAACGTCGTCGTCAGGCACTGCGGCCGCCACGGCCTCGTCCACAGGCGCTTCCGGCCTCCCTGACTTCTCTTGCCTTTCCGAGCCTCCATGCACGCACATGCTCCCAACTGTACAGCAGGTACAGCTGCGCACCTGTGTGCCTGGACACTCGGTGTAGGCGCCTCCCCCTACAGCAGTCCAGGTGAACATCACACACAGCGGGGGCCTGGGGGCCTGGGTTCAGGCCGGACTTCCAGGAAGCTTCCCAGGTGGGGCAGGTGGAGGGGCTGCCCCAGGCAGAGGGGCAGAAGCTGGCCAGAGTGCAGCAGGTGGGACCTGCCCACAGCCTGGGCAGGGCTGCGGGGCGAGGAGGGCTGTGGAATCCTCACTTCCCTTCCCTCGCTGGGTGCCCTGCTTCTCAAGGCTCTCTCCACTCCAGCCGGAACCCTGGGCAGCCTCCAGGCTTAGCTCCATGCCAGCTCCCCCACGCTGCCTGCGCACTATTGGGGTGGACTCGACGCTGCCGTTCTCTGCCTTCCCCACTCAGGGTTCCTGTTCAGTCTCTCTTGCTCTCCGTGTGCTCTGTCAGTGTTGGCTGCAGATGCCGCAGAGGGCTGGGAGGCTGCAGGACAGCCACAGCCACCGGAGCCAGAGACAGCTTCATCTCTGAGCCATCCCAGAGCACAGACTGGGGCAGCTCAGAGAGCGCGGCAGTGCGCCTCCCAGAATCCACTTCCAAAGGCGGAATCTGGCACTCGGTGTCTGAAATCACAGACAGGGCCGCCGTAGGAAAAGGCCAACCTGTCCTGGGGCTCCTGTGACGTCAGTCTGCAGGGTGCTCCCACGGCTTTGGCCTCTGAGAGCCGGGACTGTTCGCTCCGGGGCTTCCCGCAGGCTCTGAGAATCTGCACCCCAAGGGAGCACAATGGAGCCTGCGCCGTCTCCACCCTGCACTATCAGGCGCGCTCTGCAAGGACTCTGGGCCGTCACATGCCTGCTTTCTGCACCAGCCGAGTGGAGAGAACAACCGTGCTCAGGAGCGCTGGGGGCTGCTGGGCGCCAGCCCCCTGCCCCTTGCCGAGCTGCACGTGCTGGGAGTGACTCAGTACCCTTGGAGCCGTCTACTGTTTTGAACAAACATTGAGCACCTCTATCTGTTTCTTTGGGGGATGGGAAAGCAAGGCCACCGTCACCACAAAGATGGCACCAACCTGAGGAATCCATTCACGAGGCCCCGCTCTCACTCAGCAGTCATTTACTGAGTTACCTCCGAGCCCTGGGGACAGCAAGAGGCCTACAACCAAACCCGGGACCCCCCGTCGCGGAGCCCGGCACAGCCAGACTTCTCCACTGGGCGCTAACTGGAGCGGCAAGGTCCTGCTCCGTGCTCTTTCGTTGTGTTCACTGTTTTGGGATTCAGGGCCTGTAGGCAGCTTGTGCCCCTGGGCAGCAGTGGACTTCATCCCTGACCACGTGGACAGCACAGGGTTTGGAGCAGAACAGGGAGCAGCTGGCACGGCCCCTCTGAGGCCCTGGGTGGCCGCTAACCGGCTCTTGTCCGAAACCGCTTCCTTGGGTAGCACACGGCAGTGTGGAAGCCCTTCGCCGTGTGTTCCACTTGAGTCTTCTCTGCAGTGCATTAACCCATGTTCCAGACGCGAACACTGACGTCCACAGGGCAGCCTGGACAGACAGTGAGCAGAGGCTCTGCTTCGAGCCCAGCACTGCCTCTGAGGAGGCTGGCGTGCGAGATCTGCAGAGTGGCGCCAAGTTGACACGGTCACGGTCACGTGCGTGAATGCCCCTAGCCGTGACACCAGCAGAAAGCTGCCCGAGTGGGCGGCACTGCAGGAAGAACCTCTCTGATCTTCATCTGTACTTGGCCTTCTTGTCTGATCTGCAAACTTTTTTTTTTTTTTAAGATTTATTTATTTTATTTGAAAAGTAAGTAGAGCAAGAGAGAGAAAGCTTCATCTGCTGGTTCATTCTCTAGATGGCTGCAATGGCTGGGGCTGGGCCAGGCCAAAGCTGGGAGCCAAGAGCTTCATCCAGGTCTCCTATGTGGGTTTAGGGGCCCAAGCACCTGGGCCATCCTCTGCTGCTTTCCAAGATGCATTAGCCGGGAGCTGGATCAGAAGCAGAGCAGCCGGGACACGAACCCATGCGCACGTGGGATGCCGGCACTGTAGGCGGTGCCACGCCACCTGCACACTTCCTGCTGGGGTCTCTAAATCTGCAGATGAGGAAGCCTACAGCCTGCAGGTCTACAGAGAGATCAGAGAAGTTCTCCGAGCACTGCTGACTCTGCAGAGGCGGGGGCTACGTGGAACACTCCTGCCCAGAGCTCAGAGGCCGCCTGGCTTGGTAGCAGCCTGACACCTGAATCCTCATGTCCTCTACTGCAACAGGAAGGCGAGTGATGTGTTGACTTCAGTCCAAGCGAGCCAAGGCCTTCTGACTCAAAGTGGGACTGGGATCTGGGAGCCACGAGCCCGGCGGGGGGCACTGGTGAGCCTTTTCAGTGGTGCCACACGTGAGCCCACGCTTCCCGGGACCCCTCTGAGGGAACGAGGCCAGGGCGACGGGGACGGCCTCCCACCTGCCTGTGCATTTATCGGGAAGACCCAGCACCCGCCCTACACGCACTGCCACACCAGAAGTCCCCGGAGACCCAACCGACTCGCCACACCCCGAAGAGAGCGAACCACTGCACGTCCAGGTGCACCTGCTTGTCTGCTGGGGGCCGATCATTAAAATGGTGCCCAACACGTCCCCTTAGGCAACCCCGACAGAAGGAACACTCCGTCGCTGCTCTCAACCACAAGGACTTGCACAGCCAAGGGGGACGTTTTTCACCGGCGCACTTCCTCGGTGTCAGGGGCAAACGCAGGGCCCCCTGGGTGGCAGAGCGCCACGGGGATGAGGTGTGCCTCCTGGGCACACGCCCTGCTGACGTGGCCCTGCTGACCAGTTTCAAGTGCGAGTGGGCGTGCGGCGCCTGGACCGGAGTGGCTGTCCCAGCATCTCCCAGTCTCTCCTCACAGTCGCTGCAGCCGCCCTGTGCTCCCAGGGCGCCTGCGTAATCACGGTCTGTGTTTCCCAGGTGGTATGCGCCGCTCTACCTCTTCCCACCTGAAGTCGGCCGTTGCCACAGCAACCAACTGTGACGTCACAACAGAGCAGGAGGGAGGGAGGGCAGCCGAGAAGCCACGGCTCCAGCCTAGGAGACATCCCAGAAAACCCCAGGAGCAGGCTGCCTCCCTGCAGGTCTCGGCTGCGGCCTCCTCAGCGTGGGGCTGGCGTGGCGTGGGGTGGGAGGGCCCAGGGTTTTTATTCCAGGTCATTCTAATTCTGTGCCGCGGGTTTCTGCCAGGAAAATGCAGTCAGTGCATTCCAGAAAGAGCTGATTTAGGAGACGGGAAGCTGTGTCCTGAGACCAGAGAAGGCACGTTTTCAGCCTTGCGCGGGTGTCCGCCGTGTTAAACCGTGTTTGCGCTTCCCCAGCGCCCGCGGAGCCACTGAGGCCCTCGCGCGCTAAGCGCTCCTGAGGCAGGAACCCAGGCGTTCCACACTCTGGTTTTCTATAGCTACGGAATCCTGCAGACAAGACCCGGCCACGGTGACTTACGGTAAACAAAAGCCCCGCGGGCGCGCTGATGGGCGTGCCGGGGGCTGGTGGCAGGAGTCCGGCTAACGCTGCGCGAGGTGTTGGACAGGTGTAGCCAGGTAATCCTGATTAAGCGGCAGAGCGCACTCTCCCGTGCAAGCAGGCTCCGAGCGTGGTAACAGAGGGAACTACAAGGAGTCGGCCTCTCCAGAGCCTTAGCATATAAATGCACCTGAACTTCACGCGCGCTTTTTCTATTTGGGGGGTGACACGGCCTCGGCATAAACCCTTGAAGTCTGTGAACCTGCGTTTGTTTGCTTTCGCTGTAAATAACTGTTTCCTGGAATTTCTTGACATAGAAACATGTTTTCCATGGTGCCCAAGGAGGTGGTCAGAAAAGGCCCCTATGGAACCTGCAGTATTTGTGATTTGTGCATAACGTGCTCTCCCTCCTCTGGAAGGGCCGGAAGGCGAGAAACCCATTCCCATAGCCAAAGCCTGGCTTACCTAATGGAGCCACGCCGGCGGGAGGGCGGGAGGATTCGGCGCCGGGCCCTCCCCCTCGCTGTGACCCCGTTGCCGGGTGACCCACCGCCCGGCAGCACTGAGCGCCCGTGTCCGCTCGCGTCCTAACCCTCTGCGCTGTGCGTTGCAGGAGTGATCCGCGAGAGTTACCTCAAAGGCCACGACCAGCTGGTTCCCGTGACCCTCCTGGCCATCGCCGTCATCCTGGCGTTCGTCATGGGAGCCGTGTTCTCGGGCATCGTCGTCTACTGCGTGTGCGACCACCGGCGCAAGGACGCGGCCTCGGGGCAGCGCAGGGACAAGGAGCTGGCGCACTCCCGCCGCGCCTCCATGAGCAGCGTCACCAAGCTCGGCGGCCTCTTCGGGGACTCCCAGGCCAAGGACCCGAAGCCCGAGGCCGTGCTCACGCCGCTGATGCACAATGGCAAGCTGGCCACGCCCAGCGGCACGGCCAAGGTGCTCATCAAGGCGGACCAGCACCACCTGGACCTCACGGCCCTGCCCACCCCGGAGTCCACGCCCACGCTGCAGCACAAGAGGAAGCCGAGCCGGGGCAGCCGGGAGTGGGAGCGCAGCCAGAACCTCATCAACGCCTGCACCAAGGACATGGCGCCGCTGGGCTCGCCCGTGATCCCCACGGACCTGCCGCTGCGGGCGTCGCCCAGCCACATCCCCAGCGTGGTGGTGCTGCCCATCACGGCGCAGCAGGGCTACCAGCACGAGTACGTGGAGCAGCCCAAGATGGGCGAGGCGGTCCACATGGCGCTGGAGGAGCAGGGCGCCACGCTGGAGTACAAGACCATCAAGGAGCACCTGGGCGGCAAGAGCCCCGGCCCCCCGGGGAGCCTCGCGGACAGCCTGCCCCCGAAGGTCCCCCAGCGCGAGGCCTCGCTCGGCCCCCCGGGGGCGTCCCTGTCCCAGAACGGGCTGAGCAAGCGGCTGGAGATGCACCACTCCTCCTCCTACGGCCTCGACTACAAGAGGAGCTACCCCACGAACTCGCTCACGCGCAGCCACCAGGCCGCCACCCTCAAAAGGAACAATACTAACTCCTCCAACTCCTCCCACCTGTCCCGGAACCCGAGCTTCGGCCGGGGGGACAACCCGCCCCCCGCCCCGCAGAGGGTGGACTCCATCCAGGGCCAGCCCGGGGGCACCGTGGCCAGGCAGCCCAGCCTCGGCGCCTACAGCTCGCTGAGCAGGCCGGGGCTGAAGCGCACGCCCTCGCTGAAGCCTGACGTGCCCCCCAAACCCTCCCTCGCCCCCCTCGCCGCACCCATGAAGCCCAGTGACGCGTGTACATAATCCCGGGGGGAGGGGTCAGGAGTCCAACCAGCAGGCCCCGGAGGCGCCCCCAGCCGCCGCCGGGAGGTCGCGGCGATCGGAGGCCGCAGGGCCCGCCTCCCGGGGACACGGGTACTCAGAGAGCCGGGCCCGTGGCTTGGTGGTGAAGGTTTGCCACGGCGGGACTCGCCTCCATCCTCCTCCTCCTCGGCTCTCCCCCACGCCCTGCAGCAGGTGCGACCCACAAAGGACGCTGTCATCACAAACATGAGCCAAAAGCACACATCCACCCATGCCCCGTGCACACCACACACACACACACACACACACGAACAGCAACTGCAGACTTGTCTGTGACTGCACGGGCAAAACACAGATACATTTTTTTTTAATCATGAAAATCAAAAAAAAGACAAAAAAAATAGAACTCCTTGATGATTCTAACTCAGACTTTAACCCTGGCAGAAGCCCCCTCCGCGCATACTGTGAACGCCCGCCAGTGTTACAGCGCTCTTAGCTAAGTGCCGTGCCGGGCGCTGATGTCCTAGTTCTCTGCTCTCTCTAATGAAATAACGTGACCGTTAACGCAAGTAACTATTTATTGTTCGCCCGTTTACTTGTTTCCTTAAGGAAAGGACTCTTCCACATATCACCTATGAACAGCTCTTCTGAAGCCCAGTGAAAGTTAAACTATTTAACGTGAAATCCATTAACTGGAATAATTGAGTTTCTTTATTTTTACAATAAATCACTGAGTAAATACGTTGGAGCTGGAATTCTGAGCCTTGTGTTTGGACTGTCTGGTCTGTAGCTACAGGGAGGAGTTAAGAGGGGAGCAGCTGTTTAAACCTACCACTTAATTTGCTGGTCAGGTCTCCTCCGGTCTGTAACATGCAAAAAAAAATACAAATTAACGAGTTGACAAGCCCTTCCAGATTCTGACTTCAAAAGCAAGCAGGAGGGAAACTGTTGGAGCGGCACCGGTGCCCACTGCTGCCAGCCTGGCTCTGCCACGGGCCCCTGTCTCCGTGGAGGCGCCAGCGACGGTGTGAACTGATCTGTATGCCGGCTGCTCCCTCGCATAAGCGAACGGTCCGACCCCACGGGGCTCTCGTGGGCTGACATCTGTGAATAGCCCGTTTTCCACATGTAAATTTGTGCCTTACACCCTCAGTTGTGTTCACTTGTGGACTGTCACTATGATCAGCGTTTCCCCCCACCACCAATCACCCTTTTGAAATAAACACAGGTATTTATTTGACCCTCCCCCACCCCTCCAGCCTTCTGGAAGATTGGAGCCAGACAGACTAAAGGAGAACGCAGGTGTGATGGTTGTGACGCGGCAGCCTGGGTGTGCCTGGTGGCACCACGCCTTCTGATTCCCACAGCCTTTCCTCGTGCCAACCCACCCACCGTGGGACTGCCAAGCATGGGCCCCGAGCTGTGGGTGACAGACCCCACTCCCTCCTCAGAGCCCCCTGCACCCGACATCCTCAGATCATTTCAATAAGGCCGTCTCCAAGCTGGGTGCTGTGCGCACACATGCCGTGCACACAAACAGAGGCGTGGAAATAGACACGGGCGGGCAGCCCCTGCGCACGGCCAGGCACCACGGACGCTGCTGGGTGAGAGATTATTAGTGTGTGTGCGTGTGTGCTTTCTTTATCCTTTGTTGTTGTGTGCGTGTGTGTCCTTTGTTTATCCTTTGTTGCTGTTGTGTGCATGTGTTCTTTCTTTATCCTTTGTTGTGTGCGTGTGTGTGTGCTCTCTTTATCCTTTGTTGTTGTGCGCATGTGTGTTCTTTGTTTATCCTTTGTTGTTGTGTGCGTGTGTGTGTTCTTTATCCTTTGTTGTTGTGTGCGGAGGGGCGGGAGGGAGTGTGCTTCCTTGCCACCTGGTTTTCGTTTGCTCTGCAGCGGGGCAGGGGCTTTCCCGGGTTTATCAGGAGCAGAGGGCGCAGCCCCGACCCCGCTGTGGCTGGTAGTGTGCAGCTGGCAGTGTTTTTATCTCCATTTTCATCACCTGGGCTGAGTTTCACTTTTGTTTTGTGTGTGTTTTTTTTGTTTTTTTTTTGTTTTTTTTTTTTTTTACAAAAACAGCCTTTCAAAAGTAAAAAGACAAGGACAGTTTTGAGTTGGTTAGGGGGATGTGCCACCCCCTCCCCTGCAGGAGCCAGTGGGTGCGCCACCCTGTGGTCCCACAGTCCTCTGTGGCTTAGCTGCTGGGTGCGGGGTTCACATCCCGTGGACTTGACACCAAAAGCCTGCTAGCAGAGACCGGGGTTGGGGGGGCCCTGCCACCTGCTCCCCCGTGAGTATTCACCGTGCAGAGCCCGGCCGCGTGGGTGCCTTCTGTCACCTCGGCCGTGTGCAGGAGCCCGCCCCACGTCCGTCCCTGTGCCCAGGAACCGCCGCCCGCCGTGCTCACTCTGCAGTGTCCACACGTATTGGGCCGTCTCCTGCATTTCAGTGTTGCTCCCCTTCCCTTGTGGCCCCCGCCCGCCCGAGTGTGCCTTTGCCCCCCCCGGCCTCACCCCACACTGGTAGATGCCACCAACTCACACTTGCATTTGTTGTAAAGTTGTACAAATCCCGTGACGTCACCAGTTTCCCTCCCACCTCCACATCCACTGACATCTGATTCACGACTTAATGTACGTTGTAACAAAGAGAAACGGGAGCGGGGAGCAACTAAAGGCTCTCTATCACTCAAAGTAATAAAACCAGACTGTTCTGCATCCTCTGTGTCCTGAATCCTCTCATTTTTTCGCTTCTCTGGCTTCCAGGGCGCGCAGCCGCTGTGTCCTGCACGCACTTGCAGTACCAGCACCCCGCCCCGCCCCGGACTCCCCAAATCGGGGACGTGTCTTCCGAGCTGCGCCCAGCCTGGAGCAGGGCTGTGGCAGAAGCCAGGGGTAATTAAAAGGCAGCGCACGCCTCCTCTCCCTCTCTGCATGTCACGCCTTTTCTTTTTATGGGCTTGTTCCTCATCAAACATTTATGGCAGGCTTGATGGTTGAAGAGATCAAGGCTAGGATCCTAGCAGGTAGGGGCCACTAAAAATAGCTCCCTGCACAGATGAGAGTTCGGCCTCTTTACATATGAATGAGGGGGAGGGGCCAGGTGCACCCCTGATAACCCACGGGTTGGGTTTGTACCAGGGTAGCTTGGTGCTCAGGCCGCCTGCCGTCTGTGGTCTTCTGAAAGCCAGGTTTAAATATAAAGGCAGCCGGACTATTGAACTCGTGGCTTTCCAAGGGTTTCGGTTTTATTTTTGTTGTTGTTGGTTTCTTCCTGTCTGTGATGTTTTCGGTCAGTTTGAGTGCAGGAAGCTGCAGGTGGGGCATTTCCGCCTGTGTTCCTTGAGTTACAGCCCGGTGGGCACACGGCGGAGGGGGGAGAGGGGGGTGCTGACTCGACCCCGTGATGACCCCTGGAGGGCAGGGTCACGCGGCAGCAGGAGAGCTGCGGCTTTGAGCTCATGGTCTGGGGCCGGCTGAGCGAGAGCTGTGCGGAGCCGGGCAGGCTGCAGGAGCCGCCTCCCGCGTGCTGGGCTTCCAGCCGGGAGGCAGGGCGGTGATCCGGGAGAGGCCGCGGGCAGCCGGCACTGTGCCCACAGCGCCACGGCCAGCTCCTCATCCCGGCCGAAGCCAGGCCGAGAGCAGGACCTCTGAACTCCGCAGTGCAAGCTGCACTGGCCGCCTGGTGGCCTCTGGTGCTGGCCTGGTGCAGAGGTGACAGGGCCCGACAGGGGAGCCCCAGGGAGCTGTCTGCTCAGACGCCACAGCCCGACTTCTAACTGCCGTGCCTGCCGGCGAGCGGGGTTGGCATTTCTGCGGAGGTCTTTGGGCTGTTGCCCTTTAGGGGCGTCCCCATGCCGCCCCAGGCTGGGCGTTCCGGGGGCCCTGAGCTGACAGCTGAGACCCGAGTGCTTCCGGCTAGTGTCGGGCCAGGTCACACGGTCTGGTCTCCATCGCTCAGCCCTGCGGTGCCCCAGAATCCCCGGCCCAGGTTCACTGCAGGAGCAAAGCGCTTCCAAAATAAACAGCCGTTCAGTGGGTGTGGGTCCGTAAGACGCCCAAGTGCTGGGTCAAGGGCACGGGGAATTCCCAAGACTGAACCACAGGTGACGAACAGCGCCTCCTCCTGGCCGGAGGAGGAGGGCCGCGCTCGTCTCAGGACCAGGCAGTGAGGACCCAGACCCCAAAGTGGCAGGGGTGGGCTCCCATTTACTGACTGGGGCCACCAGACACACGGGGATCTTCGGCACTGCACTGAGAGGATCACGTGTCCCTCTGACTCCCCTGGGGAGTGGGGGTGGGGGCAGGGGCGGTGACCCCTCAGAGGGTGAGGGCATAAATGTGGCTGGCCGGGAAGAGGTGCAGATGCGCCTTCAGTAAATGGAAATGAAATCCAAGCAGATCAAGAGAGGCAGCTGCGCGCGCGCACACACACACACACACACACACACACACACGTGCACCCGCGGACGCCACCCAGTGCCAGCCCCGCCCCTCTCCTGCTACACGCCGGCTCCAAAGCGAGCTGCTATCAACTCCTTTCAGAAACGGGAACCAGGGCGCTTTCAGGAGCCTGGACACAGGTCCGGGCAGCTGCCTCCCTGGCTGATCACCCTCCCAAGAACCACCAGCATCACCCGCTAGCAGTCGCTGCTCCCTAGCAGTCACCCCTCTCGGCTGCAGGGGGGGGGGGGCAGGTAACCGTGAGAGCAGGGGCCTTGTTCAAGGCTGGTGTCCAGCAAAAACAGATAAAGGCGACCTTGGACACACACGCCAGGACACCAGCATACAAGGCACGCAGACAGGATTCAATTCCCAGGGGTCTCCTAGGACGAGAAAGGTGACCGAAATCCAGGGTGGATCCAGTCACTCTCTTTCCGATGCACGGATCACAGGGTGGCGAGAACACGGGCTGATCCCAGCCCAGCTCCGGGTCACTGCTCTGGGGCGGGGACTGGACGCTTGGCACATGCAGTCCCAAGTCACTGCAAAAGTGTGGATTTCACCAAGAGCGTGGAGAGGGGAACAGGCCCGTCCACAGAGGGGCGGGGCTGCAGCTGCCATGAGCAACCACGGTCTGGATCGGCAGCACCTTACAGTTTGCATCTTAATCTGGTCCCTGGTGGCAGCTCCAGCGGGGCAGGCAGCACGGACACGACTGTCCCCACGTTTCCACTTCACCGGAGGCCAAGCGTCTCCAGCTGGGCGATCAGCACAAATAAACCCAAGATTCCGAGCCACCAGGGTGAGAGGGTGACAGGATGGACGTGTGTGAAGCGGCTGCTGGCTTTTCATGCCGGCCCCTCGGCCACGCTGCCCAGGGAGCACCGTGGCGTCGTTGCCAACGGCCGTGCTGAGGTTCTGGTTGAGCCTGGAGAAGCCGCCGGTGGAAGATGGAGGCAGAGGTGGCTCCTCCCAGCTCCTCCTCCTCCACACCTCGGCCCCACAATCCTGTCACCACCCCGCTGTCACCACTGCAGTCCGCCAGCTGTGAATGCCCAAGGCACAGACAGGCAGGCGTCTCCTCGCCCCGGGAGGAGGGAGGTGCTCCAGTACCTCCTACCCAGCCCTCCATACATGACCTCAGAGGTGACGGAAGCCTCTCCCGGTCCACAGGCGCACCTGCCGGTCAGGAGGGGCACACGGGGGCGTCAGCCGAGGTGGCCATGGGAAGGGGCACGTGTGCACTCCCACAGGCAGGAGCCCGTCCACTGAAAAACGAAGCTATGTATTCCAAAGTGTGGACTGCACGTCTGC